TAGACACAAAGATTAAAGACATAGAGTAAAGAGTTAAGAATTAGCCCACACAAGTATGGCTAACTGGTATTTTATGAAAGTTTAGAAGCAATTTAGTGGGGGAAGGAAAGTTTTCCAACAGATGCCATTAGGACAATTGGATACCTACAGGGGGTGAGGGGGGGAGGAAGAACCTCAATCTAAACCTTATACTTTATACAAAACATAACTCAAATGAATCTTAGATTTACCTGTAAAATGTAAAATTACAAAACTTATTTTAAAAAATAAGAAAAAAATCTTCATGACCTAGATTTAGGCAAAGATTTCTTAGACATTTACACCAAAACATAATCCATAAAAATCAAAACTTGATAAACTGACAGGACTTCACCAAAAGTAAAAATTTTGTTGTCTGAAAGACCCTCTTAAAAGGATGAAAAGGCAGCTCACAGACTGAGAGAAAATATTTACAAATCACATGTCTGACAAAGAACTTGTATTTATATGCAAATATACAAATCACTCTCCAAAATCAACTGTAACTAAACAAATAATCCAGTTAGAAAATAAACAAACTTTGAACAGACACTGTAACGAAGAGGATATACAGATGGCAAATAACTTCATGAAAAGATGCTCAGCATCATGAGCTATGAATTAAATGAGAATTAAAGCCATGAAGAGGCATCACTACATCACTATACAATTACAATATTTAGCCCGTTAGACTAAAATACAAAATACCGACAACATCCTGTGCTAGAAAATACATAGAGCAATCGGCCCCCATACATTGCTGGTGGGAATGGAAAACTGTACAGCTTCTCTGGAAAACAGTTTGGTGTATTTTTTAGTAGCCTTATTGAGATATAGTTCACATAACATAAAAGTCACCCACTTAACATGTACAATTCAATGGTTTTTACTATATTCACGGAGTCGTGTAACCATCACCACAATTTAATTTCAGAACATTTTCATCACCACTAAAAAACCTACATACCCATTAGCGAGTACTCCCTATTCCCATCTTATCCCCAGGTCTAAGCAACTGCTACCAGCCTATTTTCTGTCTCTATAGATTTGCCTGTTCTGGACATTTTATATAAATGGAATCACATGATATGTCAATTTTTGTGACTGGCTTCTCTCACTGATTTCAAGGATTATTATGTTGTAAATTTATTAGTGCTTCATTCCTCTCTATTGCAAAAGAATATCCCATTGTATGACTATACCATGTTTTATTTATTTAGTTGATGGACATTTCAGTTGATTCCACTTTCTAGCTATTGTGGATTATGTTGTCATGACCCTCCATGTGCAAACTTTTGTGTAAATATATATGCTTTCACTTCTCTCAGATAAATGTCTAGGGATAAAATTGATGGATCATATAAAACTCTGTGTTTAGTATTTTGAGGAAAGTGTCAGACTGTTCCCAAAAGAGCACAATTTTACATTTCTACCAGCAGTGTATGAGGGTTTTAATTTCTCCACATCCTTCCAGTACTTGTTATTGTTTATCTTTTCTATTATAGCCATCCTAGTATAAGTGATATATCACTGTGATTTTGATTATAATATTATTATAAATATACACATATCATAAGATTCAGCAATCACATTTCTGGGTATTTATTCCAGAAAAAATAACTTTAAAAAAATCGACACATAAATATTTATAACAGTTTTATTTGTAATAGCCAAGGACTGGGAAACTTGGCTGTTATACCCAAAGGTGCTTCAGCAGGTGAATGGATAAACAAGCTGTGGTACCTGCATGCTACTCAGAAATATGAAGGAACAGCTACGAAATGGGCAATAATTTGAATGGCTCTCAAAGGCATTAGGTTGATTTTTAAAAAATCTGTCTCAAAAAATTATACACTGCATCCTCAAAATGACAAAGCTAAATTTATGGAGAAAAAAAAATCAGTGGCAATCAGTGCCAGAGGTTAGGGTTGGGGACTGTATATAATGTTTCTTTGTGGTGATGATGAAACAGTTCTGTATTCTGATGGTGAGTACATGAACCTATACATGTGATAAAATTTCACAGAACCATAGTCAAAAAAAATAAGTGCATGTAATAAATGGTGAAATCCTAGTATAGTCTGTAGTTTAGTTACTTTTGTGCCAATGTCAGCTTACTGGATATAGTACTGTGCTGTCCTGTGGAAGATGTTATTGGGGAAAGCGGGATGAAGGGTATTCCAGAGCTTAAGTCCTATTCTTACAACTTCCTTAAATTATTAGGAGTCTTAAATTATTTCAAAATGAAAAGTTTTTTTTAAAAAATAGTACTATGCCCTGGTGGGAACTGAAAACCTAGGTATGGGTCACCATGTGAGCAGGCAAACTAAATGGCCCATCCTAAACAGACCACAAAATTGAACCTGCATGGAATTCCACTGTAAAAGGGAAATTATACATGTGAGCCCAGGGCTGGGTGGCAGACATCGTAAGCACTGGCTCAGACTCCCCTGGTTCCTGCTCCTTCTATTAATACTTAGCTACCTCTCCCTCAACCCACATCGGAGTTGGAGGTTCCCTATAATTAGTTTAACAAAAGAAGAAACCCAGAATTTACAATGAATCTGCAGAGTGTGCTGAAACCATCTTCACTCAAGGTGGTACTTACTAACTACAATGCAAGAAAAAGTTTTCAGCGACTAGAACTTTGGTTGGTTTTTTGGCTGTCTGCTTTATATAGAATGAGACACATTCTGAAGTGTGGCTCTATATTATCTCATGTGCAATTGCTAATGGAATGAAAGGCAGGTTGGGTACTTGGAAAGAAATAGATTGGGAGATTAGTGAGGGGGAATCTAGAAAGGGTTTATGGATAAAGCTCTCCCATGTCAGACAGAATGTGAAGACAATCGTGGCCTGTAAAATCCATGCCAGTGAGTATCCAGCATGGGAGTGTCTCTGTAATCAGGTGGACAAGATCATCCACCTGTAGACTCCAGGCAGCCTCTTTCCCGAGTCACTCAAGGGCTTGCCACACAAAGTAGCCACTGCAGTAGGATAGAGACCGTGCATGGACTCAACCACATGGACCTACCCTTGCCAAGGCAGAGTTGGTTATCGCCGCTGCTCTGTGCCCAACCCTAGCAGCACAGATTAATGCTGAGCTTTTGACGTGGGACCAGCCAGTTACCTGGTGACAGAAAATTACGATAAATCCTTTCCAACATGGAGGGGCTGCAGTACCTTTCCCAGGGATAGACACATATTCAGATTTGTCTTTCCTGCCTGCAGCATTTCTCATGCCACCATCATTAGTGGTCTTACAGAGTGTCGTATCCATTGCTATAGTATCCCATGCGGCAGCATCTCTGACTAGTAGACATACTTTATTTCAGTGGAAGCGTGACAGTTGACTCACACAGAATTCAGTGAATTCAGAATTCACACTATGCCCCAAACCCAGAAACACCTGAACCTGATAGGATGATGGAGCTATCTACTGAAGGGTCAGTTCATGCACCATCTGGGAGGAAACACCCTGTGAGATGGTAGTGCCATCCTATGGAATGCAGTTTATGACTTATACCAGGATCTACTGTATTTACCATCTTCCTTTGAGAGAGAATGCACAGATGTGGCTCCTCTTACTAAAATACATAAAATATCCCTCTAGAGAAATTTTTGCTTTTTATCCCTTCAACTTTGAGCTTAATGCATTGAGGACCCAGTATTCAAAGGAGGTATTCTGTCATTAGGAAAGATATCTACAGTTTTAATGAATTAGAAGTGAGATTGCCTCCCAGCCATAGCTGCGAAAACCAACAGGTGGAGGAGAGGTCACAGCACTGGCTGGTGTGGGTGACCCTTAATACCAAGGGGAAACTGGTTTGCAATGGGGACAAGAGGGAGTACGTATCTTGTACTCCTCTGATCAGTAGAAATTGTCAAGGAAGTATGGTAACCCAATAAAGAAAAGGACTCCAAGCATTGAGACCCTAGTGACATGTAGGCTTGAGACATCCCACCAAGTGAAGAACCCTAGATGAGGTGTTGGCCAAGGGTAATAAGAACATTGACTTAATGTTCAAAGAAGGAAGCCACAACCATATCCTTAGGCCTAAGTTGAGCTACATAACTACTAACTAAAGCAGGTATGCGTTATAACAATTAGTCATCCCTTATGCCCGTTTTTATTCCCCTGTTACCTTGTGTGGAGAACATTGGTGATGGCCAACATTTTAGGTGTTCGGTTGGAGGTTTTGATAAACCTCGGGAAGGCCTGAGTGGTCAAGTGGAGTGAGCTAGGTGGAGAGTGGTAGGAGATGGGCAGGGGTGAGTAGAAACCAGTGGACTCCAAACTGATTATCTCAAACTCCTAGCAGTAAAGTAGCTTTGGAGCACGCACCCCTAGTAGATGTATATTTAGTCTCTATATACTATTGTCAGTATATCAGCAAAGCATAATTTCTATCTGTATAGGTAAGAGTCAACATCAATACATGTTCTAACATTTTCTCACTCTATCCAATGGATCATGTGCCCAAGGGACTCGAGCTGGGTGGCAGCAGTTTTCCTAGAAAGCCTCAATGTTGCCTGAAGGGATTATTTATGTAGTTGCCATGGGACACATTTCAAGAGAATCTGACATTTAAAAATTTTTTCCCTGAAAATAGTGGTTGAGATTTCCAGATTAAACCACGTTAGTTATAATTAAAGACAGTATAAATTCTCTCTATAGCCAGACTGCTGTGAACTGTAGTGTACAGTTAATTAGGCACATGGGTTGGGGAATAAAATTCCGGAAGAAGGAGCAATGTTTCTGTATGTAAAGCAGCGGAAAGGACATGATGTATTTAGAAAATCCATTTAGAAATGGCGGTGGAGAAAGGAGCGTGTGCGCGATTCTCAGCGTGGCTGTGCAGACTCCGCACCAAGATGCTTATTAAAAGAACACGGCTGGAGGGGAGGGAAGTATGAAAGAAACCTTCACCTCATTGAAAAGCAATGAAAAGACAAAAACAAAACACAAAAACCCTGAAAAATATAATTATTTCAAAAACAGAATTATAACTATCATTTTAACTTTTTTCCTGCAATGAAAATATATAATCACCATGTGGCTGCATTGTAATATATCTAATATATCCGAAGTGAAGCGGGGCGAGGCCTTCCCAAGCTGGCTCTGACAGCTATGAGGGAAGTGTCAGGGAAGCTCTTCCTCTTCCCCGGGCTGGCACCACCTGCCGGCAGCCCCCAAGGCTCCTCCCGAGGCCTCCCCGCCCACTCTGGCCGTTCCCCACCCCGCTGCCCCGCACCCTGCACAGGGGGTTCGTGTGATACAGCGTGTAGAGTTTCAGGGTGCAAAGCTTTTAGGTCCAGTTTGCGTAAGATGGAGTTCTGATGGACCGCAAGCGCCACCCCTTCTCCCTCTGGCGTCCCGCCACGGCCTTGGAGCGCAGGTCCTGCGGCCGCCCCGCACCTTCTGCAGGCGGGCCGGTGCCGTGCACGCCCACGCCCATTGCTGGTGGGCCTGGTGACATCCTCTGCCAAGCCCTCTGCTTCTGGCCTGCTGCTGTCCTCTGTCGAGCCCTCCTCTGGCAGGCGTGGTGCCGTCTCGCCCGAGCTGGGTTGTTCTGGCGTCTCCCGAGCACTCTGCTGGCGGGCCTGGTGCCGTCCTCACCCGCACCCTCTGCTGGCGGGCCTGCGGTTGTTCTGGCATCTTCTGTGCACTCTGCTTTCTGGCGTGGTGCGGGCGTCTGTCACGCCGTTTGCTGTGTGGCTGGTGCTGTCCTCTCCTGCGCTCTCTGCTGGCTATCCCGGTGCCGGTGTCTCCTGCGTGTTCACCTGGCGGGACTGGTGCCGGTATCTGCCACGCCCTCTGCTTGAGGTCCTGGTGCGGCATCGCCCACTTCTGCTGTCTGGACTGGTGATAACGTCTCCCGCGGGCTCAGCTGGCGGGACTGGTGCTGGCCTCGCAGTCTCCAGGCAACAGCTCCTGCGGTGGGACTCTGCTGAGTTAGATCACCTGGGCGCCCCCAGTCCCCCACCTGGAGCCATCCTGCCCTGCTCCCACCTCTGGGAACTGTATTTCGTTCCCCGCCTCCTTCCGGTGCTCCACTCACCTGCCTGACCTTCTGGGGACCCAGCCTGGTTACTGGAACCGGCCCTGGACCCCAGCAAAGGGCTGGCCAGCAAGCGGCAGACCCAGGAGATCATGGACGTGTCATGGACCTCACTTGGGTCAATCATTTCCTTAAAAAGATTTTGGAAGGACTCAGAAACCTCTCCGACTTTAAAGCAGAGGCACATTAAAAGGGAACAATGAATCAGGGAAAACTAATTTTAAGGATGTTTTATGGAACTCAATATATCCCAGTTATTATCATTTCAAAGTTTCAATACCAGAGTATTGAGACATTGTGTTTTCCTAGCATTTCTAATCTTGGGCGAAGGTGACACTTCATGGCACGTCTCAAGTGCTCATTAGCCACACATGGGCAGTACAGTGCTAGAGTTCTTGTTTTCACCCTTTCAGATTTACATCTGCACTTCACCAGAAATTGATTTTCGAGTGTAGTGGGAAGTAGAAATGAAGCCTAATTTATTTTCCAAATGAGTATCCCATTGACCCAGCACCAATTTATTGAAAAGACAGTCCTGTCCCCACTGTTCTGCCCTGCTTCTTTTGTCTTAAAGAAAGTGTCCACACACATGTGACACTGTTTCTGGACTCTGTGCCATGTCATTCGTCTATGTCTCTACGCTTGCAGGAGTACTGCGCTATCTGAATTGCTCTATTTCTTGTATGCAGTTATCATATCTGGTGGAGAGAATTCCCTCTTAGGAGAGTCTTGCCTATTCTTGTCCCTTTGCATTTCCATACAAATTATAACCAGCTTGTCAAATTCCCTAAAAATGTCTGCTGGAATTTTGATTGAGATTTTATTTAATCAACATATCACTTGGAGGAGAGCACGTTTTTAAAAATGTCATCTGTTCATCAGATGCTTGTGTGGGTAGGATCTGGGCATGTTCTTGTCTTCCACACTGTGCCTCCCGTCCCACCCTGGGGTAGAGCAGCTGACTGAGACAGGGGCTCAGCCCTCAGATCTTTGATGAGAACACAATGGAGGGCCCCGCCCCCTTCTGTAGAAGGTGTTTCTGAAGGGCAGAGAATCCCTGGCAGGGTTCTAGAATCCTAGGGTGAAGAAAAATGGAGTCTGGGAGGAAGAAGACCAAAAAATAGAAACAAAAACAACCCCGAGTCTCTATCTCTCTGCAGCACGGCCTCGTGCCCTGTGAGTGAGTGCTCAGGGCTCACCCTTTCTTGCACTCACTGTACCCCAGCACCTGCCTCCTTGACAGCAGGGGGGATGCTTTCCAACCCTCACTCTGCTCTTCCCTCTCTGCCGCTGGTCCCACAGTTTGCTGTGTGTGCTTACTGACCAAGTTCTGGGAGAGGCCAGTCACACAAGCGGAGGCTCATGCAGGCTGGCTGATGTGGCAGGAGAGGAAAGGACCAGACTGTCTAGAAAAGGGAACTGTTAGAGGCATCCCTGGCATGTGAGGAGGATGAACAAGATGGGGGTGAAGGCCAAAGGCAGACAGGAGTGAGATGACCAGGAGCCAGTGATGCACGAGGGGTCCCGTAACTCACCGAGGCTGAGCGTGGGTTGCCAGTGTCTTGCCTGCCCGGTGGCCACCATGTCAGGCCGCTGTCCCAGCAGTTCTGGGCTGCTCCAAACTGTCCCAGCAGCAGGGACACCACCTCCCCAGGAGGAGATTTGGGACCTGGCAGGTCTGGCCACGGGTGACTGGACAGTGGGCAGGGATGAGGGTGTAGGGGCCTAGGCAGAGGGGCTGGGAGGAGGGGTGGGGGTCTGGACAGAAGGGAAGCGGGAACGGGGAGTGGAGCGGACCAGGGGTTGGTGGACCTGGGGTTGGTAGATGGGCTGTCGGGAAGGAACAGAGGAGGAGCTGGTCATGTAGAGCATCAGGGTGGAGTAGTGGGAATTGGGGGGATTAGTCAGAGAGGGGAGCTTGGTGGGGCAATGAACAGAAAGAGCTGGGTGGTTCTGGGGAGGAGGCTGAAGGGTGGGATACTGAGGAGCAAGGGGAGGAAGGATGGTTTTGGACTGAGAGTGTGAAGGAACAGGAGGAGGGCGAGGCTGGAGCTGAGGGCGAGAAACACGAGGGAGTCTTTTTGTCATTTTCAGAAGACACTGCTGCGTACTCACTAGTCCAGAAGAATCAGAATGAGTAAATGGGATGTGCCCAGAGCTCCTCTGGTATTTATGACACGCACAGGCCCTCGCATGACCCCGTCACTGAATGCCCTTTGTGACACACACAAACCCCTCCCCCTGGTCTGGTGAGTGGGCCCAGCAGCCAGGAGAATGGCCCCAGTGTCTGCGAGTAACAGCGATTGTGGAAACAGCCAAGAGAAGAAATGGGGATGCAATTTTAGTCCTGTTCTTGGGATTCCATGTCGTCTTTCCCCAAAGAAGGCAAAGATTGTTCAAAGGGCTAGGATAGAGTTAGGGGCTTGGGGCCCTGGAGAGCAGTTGTGAGCAGGACCTGGGAAATGGGGAAGAGACAATGACTCGGTCTCATTAACTTACCACATTTTTCAATGCCCTTTCACGTCATTTATATCCTCACTTTTTATCACTGCATGAATATGAGTGATGAGCAAAGAGGTGCTATGTCCATTTCACCAATGAGGATCCTGGGCACCAGAGAGGGCAGGCACTTCCACAGGCAGGCTGGTGACAGAGCAGGTGGTGTTAGCAAGCCCACAAGGAGTGTTCAGTGTTGCCTGCTGCACAGAAAGCCAATTGCTGAGACAGTAAGGATTGTTAAGGAGGAATTGCCTCAAATCCACCTCTCTGAGCAACTATAGCAGGAGGTTTTTCTGTAGGCAAAATGAATGATGCATGAGGGCTGTGAGCATCATTGTGTTTTAGGGGAGGAGTGCAGGGCATGCAAGAACCGTGAGAAATCATGTTAGTACTTATGTCCCGTGATCAAAAAATGGTGGATAAGTACCTTCCATGGTGGGGATTGTAGTATTATAATGAGCTAGATGTTATTATTGATCATTCTTTAAACCTTTTTTTTATTATTATTATTTTGAAACAGTCTCCCTCTGTTACTCAGGCTAGACTGCCATGGCATCAGCCTAGCTCACAGCAACCTCAAACTTCTGGGATCAAGTGATCTTCCTGCTTCAGCCTCCTGAGTAGCTGGGACTACTCAAAAAGGGTAAGGGGTTTTCAAAGAGACAGAAAACATTTCTACCCTTTTCCAGGCCATATGCTCTGTGACATATTCCCCCCTATCAATTTTATCCTTCCATATCTATGGGAGGAGGGGTGATGTAGTCATCAAGCTACTTCCTGCTGTTCTATTGCACAGGAGGGTGACTATAGGTTACAATAGTGGAAGGCACAGATTTTCAGGTAAAAAAAAGCATAAGTAATAACTATAACTGTGAGGATTGACAAGGTGAAATGGACTTACACTGTATCTTTATTGACAGTTTCTTCCATCTCCTGGCTTAACTATTAATAATATTACATGGATTCTCCTTGAGGACGTTGCTTCTCTTGTGTCTCAAGTAGAGACTACTCATTCTCTCAAACTGTAAAGCTTTTCAGGATCTGAACGTGGTGCCTAGATTCTCTTTGCTCCTTCCAAGTTCTTTCAAGCCAGTTCCTCTCCACCTAATAAAAATCACTTGCTCCTTAGAAGTTTGTGCTACCCACCACCATTTCCCTGCACTGCCACATTGTGATCTCCTGGACGTTGTCTTTTTATATGAAAACTTTCAGACTTGTCTCACAATCTTATTTTTGAGTCCATCACCCTGAGTCACTTTGGTGTCTATGTAGGTAGGTGACCTGATTGAATTCTCTAGTCTTTCCTTTCCTTGATTTTTTTTTTTTACTTTTAATAAGTCTTTTGTATTTTTAAAACATCTCATTTTATTTTTTTATTTTATTTTATTTTTTTGAGACAGAGTCTCGCTTTGTTGCCCAGGCTAGAGTGAGTGCCGTGGCGTTAGCCTAGCTCATAGCAACCTCAAACTCCTGGGCTCAAGCAATCCTTCTGCCTCAGCCTTCTGAGTAGCTGGGACTACAGCCATGCACCACCATGCCTGGTTAATTTTTTCTATATATATTAGTTGGCCAATTAATTTCTTTCTATTTATAGGAGAGACGGGGTCTCGCTCTTGCTCAGGCTGGTTTTGAACTCCTGACCTCGAGCAATCTGCCCTGCCTCGGCCTCCCAGAGTGCTAAGATTACAGGCGTGAGCCACTGCGCCTGGCCTCATTTTATTTTTAATTGACACTTAATTGTACATATTTGTGTAGCAGAGTGTGATTTTTCAATACACATATACGTTGTGTAATCTGTCAAATCAGAGTATTTAGTGTATCCATCACCCCAAACACTTACCATTTCCTAGGTGTTAGAACAATAAAAATACTCTCTTCTAGTTATTTTGAGATATCCAATACATATTGTTACCTACAGTCACCCTACTGTGCAACAGAACACCAGAACTTACTCCTTCTCTCTAACTATAATTTTGTTCTCATTAATGAATCTCTCCCAATCTGCCCTTCCCCACTCTCCACACTCCATTGTCTCCAGTAACTGCTGTTCTACTCTGCACTGCTATGAGATCAACTTTTTAGATTCCACAATGAATGAGATCATGTGGTATTTGCTTTTCTGTGCCTGAATTATTTCACTTAACATAATGTTAGGTTCATCCATGTTACCGCAAATGACAGAATTTTATTCTTTTGTATAATAGACTAGCATTCCATTGTGTATATAACACATTTTCTTTATCCATTCATGCATTGATGAACACTTAGGTTGATTCCATACCTTGACTGTTGTGAATAGTGCTGCAATAAGCATGGGACTGCTGGTATCTCCTTGACATATTGATTTGATTTTCTTTGGATAAATACCCAGTAGTGGGATTGCTGGATCATATGGTGGTTCTATTTTAGTTTTTTGAGGGACCACCATACTGTTTTCCATAATGTACTAGTTTACATTCCCATCAAAACTGTATAAGGGCTCCCATTTCTCCACATTCACACTTGCAGTTGCCACTTTTTTGTCTTTTTTGATGATAGCCTTTCTAATTGGACTGCAGTGATATTTCATTGTGGTTTTGATCTGTATTTCCCTGATGATTAGTGATGTTCAGCATTTTTTTATATACCTGTTGGCCATGTGTATGTCTTCTTTTGGGAAATGTCTATTCTGGTCTTTTGCCCATAATGAAGTGGAATTATTTAGGTTTTTTTTTTCTACTGAGTTGTTTGAATATTCTGGATATTAACCCCTTGTCAGATGGATAGTTTTCAATTTATTACCAAAGTCCATTACCTACATTCTACTTCAGCTACTTATGGCCCTATCTGGTCCCTTTCTACAAAATTTCCTACAGCTTAGATGATTGGTACTAAATTCGTCATCTCACCTCAACTCTATATGCTATCCTAAACAATACCTAGTATACTTAATACTTGAAAATGTTTATACAAAGATTATTTATACGAATAAAAAATTAAAAATGACCTAAATGCTTTAAATAAAAGTGTAGATAAATTACAATACAGCCACACCATAGAATATGAAAAGAAAATCTATAAATACAAAGAATAAATAGCAGTATGTTTGTGAGGTGATACTGTGGAAATCTAGGATGGGATAAGGGTGAATTATTGAATTTGATAATTTCTAGGGGCTTGGGTTTTGCTGTCTGTCTAGATGTACCTGAAAAATTGTCCATTATCACAGAGAAATGACAAGGATTCTGACTAGAATCTGAGTTTTAAAAAAGTTTTTCTTCTGAAATTGAAACCCTGGGCCTACCTCTTGCCCCAGTTTTCAGTCCAAAATTTAAACCACATGGTCTGAAAACAACCCACAGCCAACTGGTCGTAGGTCAGTATTACCCCTGAGATATTAGGCGGTTGCAAAATTTATCACGCTGTAGGAATAGTACCATAACCTAGGCCACAAGACATCCCATTAGAAAGCCCCACCAAAAATGAACTTGTAATCCAAAATTATAAAACACATGAGCAAACAGTTCATATGAGGAATTGTCAGCAGACACAACAGAAAGCAGATTTACACATACCCCACCCAGAATTTCATATAATTAAATACATAAAAAGCCTTGAAATTCTAAGGAAACAAGATGCTAGTGAACAGGTGGTAAAAATAATCCTGGAATGAATAATATGGTGATTAAAAAAACTTCAGTGATCAGAATAAACTTCAGACTAGACACAACTTTATAATATCAGAATGAAAAATATGATCATTGAAATGATACTAAAATACCCTACGGAACAGTATAAACTTGACAATAGATGCCACCGAAGAGAGAAAGAGATAATAGATCTGAATGAATTACGAAGAAATAGAGCAAAGAGATAAAAAGAAGGAAATTATAAAAGGTTGAGAGGTAGCAGAATAAATTATAGAAGTCAAATGTATTTCTAAAAAGAGTACCAGAAGGAGAAACTACAGACAATGAGGAAGAGACAAGATTTAAAGAGATAATGGTTGAGTTTGAGAAACAACAAAACTCATGTATCCTCAGATTAAAGACACAAATTGAAGTCTCAGCAGAAAACATAAGAAATCCACATCTAGACAAAACAGAGTGAAACTGTAGAACATTAAAGACAGAGATCTCAGAAACGGTAAAAGAGAATAGACAGAATATCCATAAAGAAATAAAACTAGAACCAGAATTTTAAAAAGAAACAATGGAAGAAGAAAGTGAAGTGATATTTTGTTAGTGCTAAGAAGAAATAACTATTTATCTGGAATGTCATACCCATCTAAATTACCATTCAAAATTGAGTGCTGAATAAAGACATGTTGATCACTAGAGACCAAGTGCTAAACAAAGAATGAGAGAATTCATCACTAATAAACTCTAATTAAAACAGTAAAAAGGATGCGAAGAATAAATCTGATTCCAAGAGAAAGGAAATGCAAGAAGCAAGGCAATAGGGCAGGGCACCATGAGCAGAGATTGGGTAAGTAGGACGTTTCCCGGCAGAGTGCAAGCAAAACTTGTTGCAGGGAGTGTGGACACTGCTGGCAGCCCCGCGCTGTAACAGTAAGAAGATAGGAATGAAACCACACTGAAACAGGAATGAGAGAGAGCGCGCGAGAGATCCTTCTTTCAGCATTCAACCTCTGGTGGCTTCCGCTGATACAGGTTAACATTACATTGTGCCAGCTGATAAAGGAGAAATAATTATTCATAGGATCCAGCTCCACTATCAGAAAACGAGGCAACAAAGGGAGGATTTTGGAACTGAGAAGTGATAGATTGGTAACTGGCGTGGCAATGGGTGAATAAAGAAACTAATACGCATAAGTAAATTGAAATAAGCACTTGTGTGACTAAAATAATCATGATAACTAATTTGGGAGACAGAAAAAGTGAGGTGAAAATAAAATGCTGGCCAATAGTAGCAGGCAGATAAATAGGTGATTGGAGTTAAATTATTCTAAGGTCCTCAGAATATATAATTTTAAAATGAAAATTTCTAGCATTTGCTGCCAGTGGATCAACTTCCAGGATGCCCTATTACATGGCAGTTCTGAGGATCTCAGTTCCTTGTTGGTTGTTCGCAAAGGGTTTCAATTATATGTCATGTGGAGCTTTTTTCTTTCTTTAAAAAAAAAATTTATTTTTAATTTCAGAATATTATGGGGGTACAAACATTTTGGTTACATATATTGCCTTTGCACAGCCCAAGCCAGAGCTACAAACATGCCCATCACCCAGACTGTGCCATAGTAACCTTGCTACCAAAAGGATATTATTAAAGGATACCAAAAGGATATTTTGAACCCAAAAAGGATATTATTAAAAAGGTAAGTTTTAGGCCAATATTAATCATGAACACAGATACAAACATCCTAGACAAGATATTTACTGTAGGATCATAAAAATATTAATGCATCAGGACCATGATGGCTTATTGCAAGAATTTAAGGTTGACCTAACATTCTAGAATCAATTAATATAAATTACATTATGTCTTAGTCTGTTTTGGCTATTATAGCAAAAT